TCCAATGTTGACTAACGCAAATCTTCAAAAACTGTCAGCAGTGTATAAACTTGAATTCATTAACAGTAGAGGAATAAAGAAGACAGGGAGATAGAAAGACAGGAACACAGAGAAAGTTCTTTGTACTTGCAAAACACTGCATATGGAAAAGTCTATATAAATTTTGTAAATAAATAACCCCACAGATACATTAATCTATATGACTCCCTACTTCAGACTACCAGTGACAAAATGATTTGGCTTCTCTTATGGCACAGCCATTTATAGTACATATTAGAAGAATAGTTAAGTATGGATACAGTGAAGACAATATCAGAGATTATAAATGCTCTAGATTAGTAAATGAAAGGCTACTCCACTCAAAGGGACAAGCAGCTGTGAATGTTTCCAACCAGAATAGGACTATTCAACTTAAAGATGTTATCTATAATTTAAAAATATAAACAAAATCCATATTAATTAATAAAAGAGGTACTATATTAATTAATGTTACCATAGTAGTGAATTAAAGAGAGAATAGACTCCATGAAACTCCCAGGCTCATTAAGAAGCTGGTCCAAATTTTTACTCTGCAGGCAGTTTGCTGAATTGTGTGCATCTGTGGATAAGAGGAAAAGTTACAGCTCTGGATAGATAAAAGTGGTCTAATGGCTTCCTGCTAATTGGATTAACTTCATAGAAGTAGATCGGATCCTGCCAGGTAATAATCTTGCTTCTAAGAGTAGTATCTTAACCAGTTCGGAAAACAGCTACTACATGATTTCTTCAGGCCATTTACTGGTAACCTGAGACCCACAAAGGTGAATAATGAATTTCCAATATCCATACTGTAGAAAAAAATTTATAATACCCACTTAGCAAAATGATCTGTAATAGGGGGCGCTGCCACAAAGTCTTCAGCTGAACTTCATTTCTGAATTTGATGCCACTTACACACACCAATTTCTGGAAGCTGCTTGTCTGTTTTTTGTTCAATTTCCTCTTTTTTAAAAACATAGAACACGATCTATTCTATTCAATTCATACAATTGAGCAAGTAAATGAGGTAATTATATCTGTATCAATATCTACATCTGTTTTATTATTGGAATCTTTGAATTTTATCAGAATTGGTTATCCTACTGAACTAAAGCATTTTTTTTTTTTTTGAACTTCCAACTACATGGGATGTCTTTCCAGATTGATAAAGATAATGTTACCACAGGGAGTCACACCATTAGTTACTACCATGACAGTCTGATTTTAAAACTAGCAAATGTAGGTTTCTTTTTGTTAGTAGCCTTTTATCTCATATCTGAAATCTTATGCCCACAAATAATAGCAACAGAAATTTTATCTAATGTTAAATGCAAAACTATTTTCTCCTCCATTTTATAGATGAGAAACTGAGGTGCAGTGGCCTAGTTAGCACACGTAAATTCACACACTTGGCAAGTGGCAGATAGTGTCTAATGACCAGTGAGTAAAACAAATAGTTGTTTTCAGATTAAAAGGAAGTTTCAAGAGGCTCAAGAGAAAATGGCGAATAGGCACTGTGGGCTGTATAACAGTAAGTGAATAAGTACTTGCTTTAAATACAGACATTGTGCTCTGCAGTATATGGCTTTGGGCAAATCACACCAAGTCTTTTAGTTTCAGATTTTTCATCTATATAATGAGGATAATTATCTGGATTTTGACCAAATTACTGTGTACTTAAGTGAGATGCTCTACTTATATTTAAATATGATTTTTTTTTTTGTCTATGAAATTTTAGAACACTGCTGAAAGAATTTAGTCTGCATTAAGAATGTGACATTATTATTCATAATACTTATAGGTAATTTTTTCTTAGTATACAAAATGAGTATGGATTTTTAAGTTATTTTATTGTAGATATGAAGCTCTCACATATTTAAGTTAGACCTCTGATGATCTCCTATGACAATAGGGACTGAATATTTTATTATTGAAATCTGTTATTATAAAATATAACCTGATTAGATGAGCTCTGGTATAAATTTTTTTTTAAAGTGAACACTTGTTAAAGATTTTATTTAATTCATTATTAATGAGAAAGTGAGTAAGATTTACAACTTGTTCTGGAATAAACATTTTGATTTTAAAATAATATGTGAAGAGGCAGAATATGATTTGTATTCAAAACACATCTCTCTCTTCTAATGTGTTTCATTATAGGATGTTTTGAAGTAAGAAAAATAATTGAATATTTATTCAATGAGAACTACTTAGATTAAATACATTATCTTGTATTATACTCACAATAATCTTAGGAATTAGAAACTACATTGATACCAATTTTGCAGATTAAGAAGTTGAAGCATGATTGTCAAATAAATTACAGCCAAGTATCAAACTCCAACAACCATACTTATCTTCTAACTTTGGTTACAAAGCCCAGGAGAACATAAGGGACATAATAAATTTCCAACAGTAGTGGGGTCCTTGGTAGATTATTCCATTTCAATGAGACTGTAATTAATTTGTTATCAAATGGAGGAATCTGGAGGTTTTTATGATGGTGGAGGAATATGATGGGACATCATATTGCCAAATGATTTAAGATAGCACTTGAAGAATGGGACATTGGATGACTCTTTAGGGGGTTATTATAAGTGCTGGATAATTCATATTGAATAAATGACCCATGGCAGTCTCTGCAATGGAAGCCGGAGGAAGACTTGGGAAGTTTTTAGGGGTAAAATCTTCAGACATGGTAATGGACTTGATGTGGACAGGGAAGATAAAAGGTAGAAGTAATCATTTTGATTTGGGGACTTGAGTCTGAAATATAAGTAGTCAGGTACTGGGACAGAAGTCCAACCGGGAGGTCTGGATGATGACATTGTGTGTATAGAAGGTGTAATTGTAGTTGTCAGAGTGGAAGAGGAGGAAGAAATCCCAAGGAACACCCTGGAGACTGCTTCTAGTTTGTGGTTTGGAATTTAGGTGTTACTTTCTGTTACCTACCTCGATCTGTCTTTTTAGTAATTTTAGAAACTCAAGCTCTTTAATCTCAGGGCCTTTGCATTTACTGTCCACACATCCTTTCCTACTCTTCATGTGGTTGGCTCCTTCCCATCCATCAGGACTTCCCTGCCCACCCTACGAAGAATAAGTGCCCTCCTCATCTCTGCCCCAGACCCTTGTTACTGTCAAATCATTTAGCATTTGCAATCTGTTGCTTTTTGTATCCCCCACTGAGATATAATCTCATTAAGATAGGAAGCAAGTCATTTTGTCATAGTGAAATCATTATCAACCAGCAATTGCTAGGTATAAGGGAGCTACTTAATGCTTTCGAATGAAGGAATGAACAAAATGCTGATTCTGGCTCCATGGGGGATTCTAAGATGATTCATGCTCCTCTACCCCTGACCAGCCTGACTTTCCAACATGATCCTTTTGCTCTAATTTCATCCGAGCTTTTTTAGTTTTCTGAATATTCCAAACTTTTCATGCCTTTCTGTTTTCCCTTTTTGTTTTCACTACTTGAGATGTTCTTCTCTTGTTACCCACTGAGATGTCCTTTATGAGCTAAATAAGAACATGGCTTACTTTATCATCTTGTCAAGGGAACACAGCCCTCAGCACCCGTGCTATAGTAAGCCTTGCATGTCTATTTCCCTGTACATTGTAAGTGACTGGAATTTAGGGAATCTTCATTGTTTGAGTTCATATCCTCAGTCCGTACCCCAGTGCTTGGTACATGGTAGCTCTCTGATGAATATTTGTTGAGTGAATGGGTAAACAAAAGAAGGCAGGCAGATAGTATAGAGGACATCACCAGCATATGTGACAACAGACCTAATTTGCTATGTGACCTGGAACAAGTTACTGATATTCTAAGTCTCTATGTCTGCATTTGTTAAATAGCAAAAACCATAGAATTTGCCTTGATAATTTTATAATTCAAACCAGTATGTTGTACTGGTGATGATTCTCCAGACAAGTAGAACCAATGTTGTGTATATAAAAAGATTCATTTTAAGAAATTGGCTCATGGAATTGTGGAGGCTTGACAAATCCAATTTCTGATCAGTGATGCTGGCCAGTTGGAGATTCAGGAAAGAGTGTTCAAGTCTAAATACAGACAGTTGTACAATGATGAAGAGTTGGTGTTGCAGACAAAGTCCAAGGCCATTGACTGGAGAATTTCCTTTGCTGAAGGGAGGTCAGCATTTTGTTATATTCAGGCCTTCAATGGATTAGATGAGGCCCACCTACATTACAGAGAACAATCTGTTTAACCCAGAATCTACTGATTTAAAAGTGAATCTCATTCCAAACCTTCCTCACAGAAATACCTAGAATAATGTTTGATTTAATATTTGGGTACAGTGGCCCAGTTGAATGGACACATAAAATTATCACCTATGTTAATATAGCATCTTAGACATAGGAAACACTGGCCAGACTTCCTAGTCTGGTCCCATGACTTATGTCTGAAGGTCAGGAACCATGAAAATGTGTGTCAGGGCTAATGGCTCTGGTGACTTGCTGGATGGAGTAATGTGATTTTCATCCTTCCTGGATTCTGAGTCTGCAAACAATACGTGTAAAATTGAATTATGTTTCCTATAAATAGCACAAATAATAAAAACTTGTTAGTATAAGCAGAAAGTGGACACAACAGAAAGAAATATGGATGAGGAACGAGCTGGGGCAAAATTATGGATTGCCGTGGCCTAATTCAAAACCATGGTCACTTGTAGATCCCAAACTAACTCAAAAGAAGAGCAAAAGCACTGGCCTTTTTGCAATGAAAGATGTATTTTGGCAGAGTAGAATGAATTCAGTACAGAAACCTGTTTTAAGAGGGACAGGATGGTGAACATTTTAGAAATCACATTGTTATTATCCTCATTACATTTGAACTATCATTACATATACATTTGGATGAAATTTACTGTATAATTAACCCCAAACTGCTCCACTTCAAAATCTAAATGGCTGACATGAAATTGTATTTGTAAAGGAGGCAGCGAAAGACCGTGTTGTTTAAATGTTTATGAAATTTTATTTGGTTTTATTCAATCACACTGATTTTGTGGTAAACATGCATTTCTAAAAGTGCATAATCAAACATTTTAATTTTCTGGATATTGCATTTGTCATAGAAATAAGCCACAGAATGTTAAAGATTTACTACATATGGGATTCATATTAAAATATGCCACATAAAAGAGATAATGAATTTATAAAATGCTATTTGCTGATTATAAAAAGCAAGAAATATAAAAATATCAGTCGTTAATAGGAAAAATATTTCTTTTCTATTCCATCACTTTTGAAATTAAACACAAACACTAAAATTCAGAATAGCAAAGTTGATTTTTAAAACTTAATACATACTACCAACACTTTATTTTAATTCTTGAATACTGAAAACACATGATCCACTGCTGTAAAATTTGGTTTTGTTCAAACATTAATTGCTATAATCACGAAGGTTAGTATTAAAAGAGATGGAGCAGATCTCTGTACAGCAAAGAGCAGCTATACCCAGAGCTCCATCCTAACATCTTATTTTGTTAGGAACATAGTTTAAATATTTAAAGACAAATGTCATGTTGATTCATTGGTGGAGTTTGGACACCCGTCTCAGGCATGAATGGTGACTAGCACAGAATGATGTGAATGGTGGCTAAATACTCTTGCTTTTAGTTCAAGCACCAAAAAGAAGCTATTTCAGTGAAGGGGTCTTAAAGTTTTAGAAACCCCCTTTGGCTTTTTTCCCCCTGCCATCATAAATAATTATTTGACTTTCTTCATTTGTGCTTTATGGAACTAATTACATTTGCTTAGAAACAGTGTTAAAATTAAATGCAATTTTTAATTATAAAATGTTTCCTTGGAAACATTTTCTTGCGTGTTAAATTGTGCTTTGTTCTAAAATACTTAATTTCACTTACAATTAGAAATCAAAGACAGAGCACAGCATAGGGCAATTTGGAAATTGTCGCATTAATTGCCACAAAACAGTTATTATTTTTCACAATGGACAACTGACGGTGAACATCCAATTAACTGCTACACAGTTATTTAACAACTATCTTCAGAAAAGAATGATTCTCTGTTATGACCATTAATTGGTCACAGGCATTCGACTTTTTTTAGATTTGGAAGTGTATTTAGAAATAATTTTTATTTAGAAATTATATATTTCTTTTCATTTAGAAAGAGCTGAGGACCACAATCACAATGAGAAAGATTAGCATATGTAGGTGACCTCGAAGTTCAAGGCAATTGTTTCACAAATCACCTTAACACACCGAATTCACAGTTAAGGGCAAGCCTCTCTTTGGTTCGTAAGGTGTTGTCCTGGAAACCATTTTGATGCAGTCGATAATCGGGCAGACACTGAAGCACAGAGTACAGCCTGTGCAAGCGTCGGTAACGGTAGGCAGGTGGGTTTCAGGATCAAACTGTATGGCCTGCAAACAGAAATACAGAGTATCGCTGTCACTGCCCACAGAGGTCAAGATTGCCCCCATGTTAGTATCACCGTTTTCTCCACCGCACTAGAGCTCCGCTTGGAGACAGCTAAGGCCCAACACTGTGTTGCAGCTATAGCAACAGTTGAGCTGCCAGAAGGAGGGGAATGAAGACCAAGAAGAAATCCTTTTAAATTAGAAACACAATGTTGAACATTCCTTAGAGGCAATTTTCCTTCTCTTGTGCGAGGACATTCTCTCATTTCTTCTGTTTTGAGCAGGAGTTCTTCCACTTCCACTGGATGGGGTGTCCTCCACCTGAGGATGGGGTGCTTGCACACATATCCTTTTCCTTCTTACACTCTTTGAGCTTCACAGTGGAAAGTGCCACCATGGGGCAATTTATGTGCTAGCCTGGATTTCAAATTGTGCGTGTTTTTTCCTCCTTTCAGAAGGAGTAGAAAAAAATGTAGCGTAGGGGCCATCTTTCAGGTTTGAGGATTTCCAAACTGATTCTAGGAATGGGGCCACCACAAAGGGGAAGAAGCCCTGAGTGGCAGAGTCAGGACACCTGGTTTCCAGTCCTTCCCAAACGCTACTCTGCTGAGAGAATCAGGGCAAGCCCTCAGGATCTGAAACTGCTCAGGATTTGAGAAATTCCATCATTTCCTTTCTGCTGAGGATTTGAGAAATTCTGTAACTCCTTCCTGCCCTCTGCCCATGGCGCTTTCCCCTTCTCTGACATGAAACAATTTATAATGAGCCAAAAGAACAACAACAACAAAAACATCTGTGTAAAATATAGGATTGAGATTTTTATTTAAAGTCTGGACCTCCCTGGTGGTGCAAGGGGTTAAGTACAGCACTATGAAGTTATTCCAAAGTCTCTGCAGCACAAGTTCAATCCCCTGCCAGAGAGAGAGGGGATGCACATGGCGCAGCAGACCTCTCCTGTCTCCCCAGCTCCTCCCCTCAGCAGTGTATTTCAGTCAATATACATGTTCTGCTCCCCACTCTGTCTCTGGCGAATCCTCTCACCTTCCTGACCTCTGGCCTGTACCCCAGTTTTTGTATGCATAAATAAATAACCTTAAAAAAATAAAGTCCCAGTGATTATTTTCCTGTTAAAGAGAAACATTTTAGCAGTGGAAATCATATGCCAGCATTTCTCTCTCCAAGGGACTTCAGGGCAGCTCTGCCAGGGAGGGGGAGCATTGGAGACTTGCCTGGCTGTCTCACTCACAGAACAAGGACAGTGTTTTTGCTTAGACTGTATACTCTTTGGAGTGATGAGGTAGAGGTTGAGGAAAATTAAGAGGACATTAGCACCCATCCCATCCCTCTAAATGTTCCTTGAAGCCAGGTTTGCAAATCTTAACATTTTCAAATAATTTCTTGATTTTGACTTTTTTTTGTATTATATACAATGTGCTATAATCCAATTAAAATATTTTTGTTTGTTTGTTTGAGGCTTTTCCTCTCCCAATGGAGCAACTTGTAACTATAATTCTTTTCATTTTTATGTACATAAAAAATGAAAATGCCCTTAGAGTAAATCATTTTAGACTGCTTAATATTAAAAAAAAGTATGATCTTTAAGGAAATACTATATTATATCTGAACAAGAACTACAGCTGTAACAAACTATAAGAAAACTTTCCCACACAAACTGCTGTCGTGTTTTATAAACATTATCTCAGATGGCTGTTTGGGTGAATAAAATCTACTTCTCTTCCTTGTGTGCCCTTTTCTAATTAGGAAGCCAGGAAGTAATTGGTAAAAACAAATGTCTTAAAATCTTATACTTAAAAGCTTGCAAAGAGGGGCCTCCCTAGTGGCGCAAGGGGTTAAGTCTCAGCACTATGAAGCTAACCGCAGGCATTGCAGCTCGAGTTCGATCCCGGGCTAGGGAGATAACCCACATGGAACAGCAGACCTCTCCTGGCTTGCCCGCTGCTCCCCTCAGCAGTGTATTTTAGTAGATCTGCCTGCTCTGTTCCCCACTCTGTCTCTGGTGAATCCTCTCACCCCCCTTACCTCTGGCCTGTACCCCAGTTCTTGTACATATTAAAAAAGATGAATCTTTAAAAAAGTTTAATAAAAATAATGTTACTGTATAGTGTTTAATCTGAAGCCAACTGAACTCCCATTTTTACTGGCCTGTGACAAATACACACCCAAAGGGGGAGGAACTGGGAAGAATCTATGAATTAATGTGTCAGGAATACAAGTTGTTGGTTTTCCAGCTACAGAGGAATTCCTAGTCCCAATCTGTACAACTAATTAGTGGGAAAATGCCTTTCCTTCCTAACTAGTGTAAAAGCACAATCAATAGTGGATGGGAGAAAATTTTCCTTTGGTGGAAGGAATCAAGATCTTTTAAGGTATTGGCAATAAATTATTGCTCTTTTTTCCCTTTCCTCTGTATTCAGACACAATGCTACCTAATGCCTGTAATTATGCAAAAAATTTTTTTCTGGTTAGATTTTCCCCTCCAATTTTAGGGGTGATTAAATGATATTAAATCTTAATAGTTGTTGAATTAACTGGTTTAGTTAATTTCACTTATGGTTTTCCTTAAAGCAACACTATGTTATGAGATGGGAGGACAGAAAGTTGTGCCATTACTGAAAAGCAATTTTTGGAATGTTTGCCTTCAATTGCACATTTAGCAACAGAAGATGCTTGCTGCTACAAAAGCCAGAAAGACAAGCCTCACAGCATCCTAATTACAGCAAAATTCTTACCTGGTAGCCAGAGTCATTGCAGGTCATGTAGCATTTGCCACAGTTGATACACATTTCTTCATCAATCAGAGCCACAACATGCTCTATGTTGCTCATTTCCCCATATGATCCAAGGTACTGCAGTGCTTTTCCAATGACATCCTAAAAGATAGGCATTGAATTATAGAGTCTATTTTAAAACATTAACACATAATAATTACAATCAGTTCAAATCTCTGCATTTTTATATAATGTTGTATATGTTAACTTAAAAGGGTTTGGATGTTATAGTTCATACACACACACACACACACACACACACACACACATATGCTTTCCATAATTATAGCCTAAATGTTTCTGTGTTCTGAAAGATGGGCAGTGTGTGTGTGTGTGAGTGTGTGTGTGTGTGTACTAAGCTTAGAAAACTAAGCCCTAATTAACAACTTTCATAGGTTTTCTACAAGATAATCTAAAACAGTGTTTTTGTGAAGACAGAAGGTAGTTATGATACCTTTTTCAGTTGCTGTGTCTTCTCAATTCTGGACCTTCAAGGATCCAAAAGTAATGAAAAGTGATAAATGGTAATACACTTATACCAGAAAACTTTACATAGCTAAGAATGAAGAGAATGAAAATGTGAATGCTATGCATTTATATCACTGCATTTGGATTCTAGATTTTCACTTAAAAAAGTGCTTTGATAGCACACCCACCTGTCAAGTCTTGAAGAGTATATTTTATTATCTAAAAATTATAATTTATGCTAATTAATTAGATTGATCTAATAGCTAAATAGGATGCTCTTTTACTTTTAATGAACTAGGATTTTCATCATTCACCACTAAAGACTTTCATGTGGTTACACATTGCTTTGTTCTTCCTATCAATTGGAAGTATGCTTAATATGTGAAGCACAGATGATGTTTCATCAACAATAAGAAACACTTTGTTTCATAAAACAAAACAGAAGAATGTAACAATGTTTGTCAAATTAGTATGCTGTCAAGATTTTCTGCTTTTGTTTTCAACTTTTAACACGAGAATTTTTAGCTTGAATTCAAGGTCCATGTTCAAGGAGGTTTGTCTTACTTAAAGCCATCTTCCTATATTTACCTTGGTATTGATTTTCTGCCTTTTTTTATGACCTAGGTTACCAATTTTTAACTTCCGCAACCCCATTTTTTTCCTAACTAACAATATGCTCCTTACTTTGAGCTTTCAAATGGAAATAAAATTTACATTATTATACATAGATCATTTGTGCATCTCCTAAGGAGTAATATGATAGAAAATTTACAATATTGTTTTCACTATTCCCTTTTCAATTTGTTGAAGGTAATTTCAAATCTACTGTTGTCTGCTTGTAATTGGTGCACTTCTGTTGCCAAGTCTTCCAAATACTGAGTCTACATTATCTTTTTAATCCTTTTTGCTATCTTCTATAATCTTTAACCATTACTAATTAATTCTCCATTACTTTTAATGCAGGTACAAGAACATATTTGAAAAGTCTCATATTTTTCCTTTCTCATTTGCACTATGCAATGTTGTCTATGTAGTAATGTATATTTTTCACTCTCTTACTAAAAAAATCTATTGACCTAAGTACAGTTCTCTTCGCTAGCATTTTAGGCTTCCCACCAACAAGTTTTTCTCCATCTTATTTCTCTCTTACAAACACCACCCACTTCAGTTACACTGGACACACGCTCCACACAGAACACATTTGTCAACAACTCCTCCGGGGACTAAGTTTATGTTGAATCTTCTGTCCTGAATTGTTTTCCTTCCCATTTCCACTTTGAAAAATCCTATACATCCTTCACAGGCATTTCATGTGACACTTTTTCATGAAGGTTTTCTCAACCCATCCTTCCTTTTTTTGTCGATGTAAATTGAAGATGTGATCTTTTTCTCTCTTGTTCCTCTTCCTTCATCTTCCCCATCTTCTTCCCCATTCTGCACCCCCTCCCCCCGTGGACCATTATATTTCATCTACTAAGTAGAACTAATTATAACAGATAACTTAAAAGTCTTTACAATATATCAGTCCAGTGTCATAATTTTTAGGCAGTTTTTCACTTAAACCTTTCACATTTTATAGATAATTAGATGGCTGAGATGGAAGGTAAGAAATTAATAATGAACCTGGCATACAGGATCTGCTACGCTGACTCATCTATTTTGCTATGTAGCAAGTTCTACTTCATGTTATAGATATTTTCAATGATATTTTCTATATCATAGCTTCCTATATACTGTCTCTTAGCAGGCTTTGTTCATTTTTGTGTTTCATGTGGTGTATCTTGCTCCTGCATCTCTCTGAAACATAATGGGCTCTCAAATATTTGTTATAATGGCTTCCATTAATCTACACACTAAAAACACACCTTAATATTAGGTACACAATTGTAAGGGTTAATTGCTACTTGATATGAGATTTATAGAGCAATTCCAGCACTTCTTTGAATAATCATCAATTATTGAGGTATATTTAACATTTTCTAATAATATTTTAAGATAGTAAATGTGTGAGATCCCTCTGGCTATAGAAGGCTATTTATATGTGATAGAAAATCACTTTTGCAATCTAGTAAGTACATCAGTCAAAAACAGTTGTTTCACTGAATCTGATCACTCAAACAAATAGTACATAGTCAAAAGAGGATTAAACAGGAAACTCCCTAGAGTGTCATTAAATTTATATTATTCAAAACAAACAATGCATATTTCTAACAGATTTTACTATAAGAAGTAAGTCCAGAGTTAGTATATATTAAATATGCTGTTATGGCTCTAAGTTGCAGTTTGCTGTTATCATTTATTAAGATATTGTTTAATGTGTAGTTAAAAAATCAAGGTCCTTGGAGTCTCTAGATGTTATTAGCACATGGTGTTAAACAGTCTCCCCTCATTCATCATAGTTCTCAAGAAAATTGTGTTTGTTTTTTATCTGGAAGAGGATTAAGGAATGACAACTACTTTAAATTATTTTGGGGAAGAGCACCAAAGAAAATGAATTATCATTCCATTTGGCTTAAAATGTGGACATTTGTTTAAAATTGAAAGCTTCTTCTTCTTTTTTTTTTAAAGATTTATTTATTTATTTATGCAAGCACTGGGTACCCTCGAGAAGCGCGGGAGGGCGAGAGAATTCACCAGAGCCAGAGTGGGGAGCAGAGCAGGCAGAAGGACCGAAGTACACTGCTGAGGGGAGCAGCGGGCAGCAGGAGAGGTCTGCACACCATGTGGGACCCTCTGGTGGCCTGGGAGCAGCCGGGGATCGAACCGGTGCCACAGAGGCCGTGGGTAGCTTCACAACCCAGCGCTCAACCGCTGTGCCACCGGGGAGGCCCAAAACTGAAAGCTTCTTGCTAGTACCTCCAGCTTATGAATACTCTTGAGTATGCATACTCGAATTGGAATTTACAGAAAGACATATATAATCAACGAAACACATATGGCTATCCTAGTCTCTCTTGGAAACACATCTGCAGCAACTGGGGAACCTACATTAATTATTCCAAACAGGTTGTAGATATTACAAGGATCAAGTGATCTGCTGTAGCCACTCCTGATTCATGGAAGTGTTCATGTGTGAATGTGGGTGTGGGGGAAATGATACTAGATTTTTTAAAAGTATAGATGATACATTTGACTTAAACATGTGTTAACTAAATTAGCATCGTGAAAGACTACAGAATTCTATAATCAAATCTTTGTCAATTAATTTGTTTTATAATCAAAAATATTTTAAAAAGCAAGATTAGATATCTTTGCTGTATCATAATTTGATATGCTTACGATGAAGAAGTTCGTTTGGGCCTATTTTTAAGTTGTGATTGTTTTCTGGTACATAACTGTCCTTTCAAGTTTGTCTTCTTTATACCTTATTAGCATAATTTCTGTAATTCCCGTAAAAAATGTCATTCAAAGGCCAGGAGCAAGGACAACATGCTGTGGGCAATCACTGTGATTTCTATCTGAAAGGGACTCAATATTTAAATTATTTGTGTCTGTTTAATCCCTTTACCGTTTTCTTATCTGTACTATTACCAATGTCACCTATTCTTATCTTTTACACCAAGTTCACTACTTCCTTAATAAACCTATCAAAATAGGAAATGAGGGAAATTGGTTTGTTTTTACTGGATTTATGCTGACTATCAACTTCTTTACTAAAATGTTCTCAAGCCAAATGTTCAGTGATCTTCCCAGAAGTTGACAGGGGTTAGATTTCAATCTTTCTAGCCTACTTCTCTTTTTCCCCACCTCATACCTTTTCCTTTTCTAAAGAACCTGGGACATCACTATTTCTGATGTCTGGGAGGCAGAGAGGGTAACTGCACCTTGAGAAAGGAAGTCTTGAGTTAAAGGCTTTTAACTGAGTATTCAGCTTGAATACACTGAGAGGAGAAGACAACGGCAAAGGTTGATCAGGAAATAAAGTAGTAGGCTGGTGGAGGGGAGGGAAACAAGTAAATCAAGAGATGAGCAGAAGTGAGAATCTGGAATTGAAGTAGGTGAAAGTGCGTGAGAGGAGCTTATGCTTATTCACAAGGGAGACAGATGTGTCAGACTTAGGTGTGACCAAGATTGGCTCAATGCACATCTGTGCCCCTGATCACATGATACTTTTAAGGTAGCAAGCTCTTGCCAGGCACTTTGCCTTTAAATTTATCCAATGTGTTTTTACTACATCCATATGTATCTGAGGCTCTCTCAAGTATATTTTTTCCTCTTCTTTTTGGTTCTAAGAATATTCTCTATGAGAGACACTAGAGAGATAAAAGGAGACGAACAGTTCTCTCTAAATGTAACTTAACAATATACCATCTGCTCTAAGTAGTTGCTGTGTTTTGTCTTTTTGTTACCTCTAACAGACAAAATATATTTCCAGTTTTCCTAATAATATTTTCTCCAAATTCAATAATGTCAGGTTTTGCTACTTCTAACTCATTCTTAAATCTTGATGTCACTTTTTTATGATGATCACGGGTACTGTGATCTATATTTTTCTCATACAACCATTGAATTTTGAGTTATCTAAATGCTTCACCCTTTTCTCAGTCCTCGAGAAAATTTGTGATTATGTCAGAAAATTTCTATTTGATAGCTTCTCATTTTTCTTGATTCATCTTTTCAGGTTAGGGTGGCTG